TTTCTTTGTCTTTCTTTCTTTTTTGATTTATGTTTTTGACCATGCGTATTTATTTACCTTGTTTCTTTTTCTTTCTTTCTTTCTTTCTTTCTTTCTTTCTTTCTTTCTTTCTTTCTTTCTTTTTTGTTATATTGATTTCTGTTTTTCACCACAAGTATTCACATGCCTTACTTTTTCTCTCTTTCTTTCTTTCTTTCTTTCTTTCTTTCTTTTTTTCTTTCTTTGTCTTTCTTTCTTTGTTGATTTATGTTTTTGACCATGCGTATTTATTTACCTTGTTCCTTTTTCTTTCTTTCTTTCTTCCTTTCTTTCTTTTCTTTCTTTCTTTCTTTCTTTCTTGTTCCATTGATTTCTGTTTTTCACCTCAAGTATTCACATGCCTTACTATTTCTTTCTTTTTTCTTTGTTTCTTTGTTGATTTTTATTTTTCACCATGCGTATTCATTTACCATGCTCCTTTTTCTTTCTTTCTTTCTTTCTTTCTTTCTTTCTTGTTCTATTGATTTCTGTTTTCCCCCACTATTCATTTGCCTTACTCTTTCTTCCGTTCTTTCCTTCCGTCTATCTTTTCCGCTCATCCAATTTTATGTATTACGTATTTCCCTTTTTTGATGTAATACATTCTTTTACTCGCTACACACATACGTACACAAACCACTAATGCCTTCCATCCCAAAGCTAACTCGCTTTGATTAAGGATGTAATTAGAATGAAAAAATACCATATTGTTATCGTCAGGGGCCAACAAACCATTTCTTAATACATACTTCTATCAACTGGGGAATGTCGTCTAATTTTACACTATTGTGAGTTCTCTTTCAAGCTCTCATATTATTTAGGCTTTTTTCTGGTATAAAATGATTTGAATTAATATATCATTATTATTTTTTAAAAATCTTACAATCTAAAGATAATTTGTGGCTTTAACTAAAATGCAATGAGTTGATAAATCGTAAAAACGAATCAATCATCCTATCAATTCTTACTTTTTTTTGTTCTTCATTCATTTGCTCGCTTTTTTAACGCCTTACTAGGTTTCTGTTTTCTCTTTCCTTTTTATTTCTTCCTTTCTTTTTCTACTCATCATTTTCCTTCTTTTTTTAATGAATAAGTTTTTGCCCATTGATTTCTTTCTTTTTATTCTCGTTTTTTTTTCTGCATTCGTTCGTTCCTTCTTTTGTACTTCTTTCCTTCTTCATCTATTGCTTTCTTCTTTCCTTCATCTAATTGATTTTTGTTCATCTTTTTTTAATTAATTCTTTCGTTCTTTCTCTCTTTTTCTTTTCTTTTCTATTGAATTCTATTTTTCATCACCGGTATTCATTTGCCATACACTTTCCTTCGTCCTTTCTTTCTTTCTTTCTTTCTTTCTTTCTTGATTTATGTTTTTCACCACCTGTATTTATTTGCCATACTCATTCTTTCTTTCTTTCTTTCTTTTTCTTTCTTTCTTTCTTTCGTCCTTTCTTTCGTCCTTTCTTTCGTTCTTTCTTTCTCTATTGATTTATGTTTTTCACCACCGGTATTCATTTGTCATACTCGTTCTTTCTTTCTTTCTTTCTTTCTTTCTTTCTTTCTATTTTCACCACCCGTATTCATTTGCCATACTCTTTCTTTCTTTCTTTCTTTCTTTCTTTCTTTCTTTCTTTATGTTTTTCACCACCTGTATTTATTTGCCATACTCATTCTTTCTTTCTTTCTTTCTTTCTTTCTTTCTTTCTTTCTTTCGTCCTTTCTTTCGTTCTTTCTTTCTCTATTGATTTATGTTTTTCACCACCGGTATTCATTTGTCATACTCGTTCTTTTTTCTTTCTTTCTTTTTTTCACCACCCGTATTCATTTGCCATACTCTTTCTTTCTTTCTTTCTTTCTTTCTTTCTTTCTTTCTTTCTTTCTTTCTGTTATGGTGAAACATTCTATAGTTAATAGACTCTCCCACCTAATATAAGTAGGAGTAGTAAGAGAAACGAGTGTCAGTCAATGTCGGACGATCGGCTGAACGGTTGAACTCTCTGCCTTCGGGCGGAGAGGAACCCGAACGAGGCTACATCGAAGGGCGGAGTCTCGGTCGGGGAGGTAAACCAACCCTGAACTCGTTTATACGGGTTCAAAGGGTATATTTTTGACCGAACCTACGGGCTCAGAGATACCACGTTAAACTAGCCTTGTGTCACATGATACCCTCGTGTGGGTGGGTGACTAAATACTAGTCGATGTCGGACGACCGGCTGAACGGTTGAACTCTCTGCCATCGGGCGGGGAGGAACCCGAACGAGGCTATGCCGAAGGAGAGAGTTTCGTCCGGGGAGGTAGACAGACCCGATCCCGTTTATGCGAGGTCTACGGGGATTTTTTGGCTGAGCCTACGGGCTCGGGAACCCGACATTAAATTCGGCCTTGTGCCACATGTGACTAAATAGCGTCGATGTCGGACGACAGTAGTCGACAGTTAGTCGAATAGGAAAATAGTCAGAAACCACAACAAGATTACTCTGTGAAATACCTATTATATCAAGTTCCTAACGTTTTGTACGTCGAACTATATAGGAATGATTTAGTACAAATACAAGACTCCCCTGCGAAATAACTCCACAACACTTTCTTTCTTTCGTCCTTTTTTTCGTCCTTTCTTTCCGCTTATCCAATTGTATGTATTACCTATTTTCCTTTTTGAGATAATACTTTTTTATTCGCTACACACATACGTACACAAATCACTAATGCCTTCCAACCGAAAGATGAGTCGCATTTTCGTTAAAGATGGAATTAGAATAAAAGATTGTTAAAGTCACGAGTTCACAAACCATTTCTTAATATGTAATTCCACCAACTGGGATATGTCGCCTAATTTAACACCATTGTGACTTCTCTGTCAAGTTCATATATTATTTGGGCTTTATCTTTGGTATACCGTGAATAATCTTTCCCAAAATATTATTTTTATTGTTTTCACCCTGCACAGATCCCGGAGCTTAAAAGGCATTCATTGCCGAACAATTTTCTTGAGAAAATGTACCTGAATGGCCACCATTTTCACCTGAAGGTATTCTTATTATGAGAAAGTATTCGACAATCCCCCGTAAATAATACGAACACATTTAAACAACATAGAAACTAGTCAATATCAAGACGGATGACTCCTTCGCAATACCAGGTGCTGTAAGCTTGGATTTGTGTCTGATGTAATGTATAATGGCTCAGAAATGTTAAGCAATGAGTTGTATTTCATTTCTTCTACGAATCGTTATAGTTATTTATGCGCAAATATCCTTGGAAAAGGAATAAATCCATCTCTTCCCCTCCAGCTATGAGCTAATTAGTAAGATTTGAATTAATATATCATTATTATTTTTTAAAAATATTGCAATCTGAAAATAGTTTGTGGCTTTAAATAAAGTGCAATGAGTTGATAAACCGTAAAAACTAATCAGTCAACCTATCAATTCTTACTTTTTTATTCTTCATTCATTTGCTTACTTTTTTAACGCCTTACTAGATTTCTGTTTTCTCTTTCCTTTTTATTTCTTTCTTTCTTTTTCTACTCGTCATTTTCCTTCTTTTTTTAATGAATAAGATTTTGCCCATTTATTTCTTTCTTTTTATTCTCGTTTTTTTTTTCTGCATTCGTTCGTTCCTTCTTTTGTACTTCTTTCCTTCTTCATCTATTGCTTTCTTCTTTCCTTCATCTAATTGATTTTTGGTCATCTTTTTTTAATTAATTCTTTCGTTCTTCTATCGATTTATGTGTTTCACCACCCGTATTCATTTGCCATATTCTTTCTTTCTTTTTTCTTTCTTTATTTTTTCTTTCTTTCTTTTCTTCTTTCTTTCTTTATTGAGGTATGTTTTTCACCACCCGTTTTATTTACCATACTCTTTCTTTCGTCTATTCTTTCTTTCTTTCTTTCTTCCTTTCTTTTCTTTCTTTCTTTATTGATTTGTTTTTCCCCACCCGTATTCACTTGTCATACTCTTTCTTTCTTTTTTCTTTCTTTCTCTATTGATTTGTTTTTCCCCACCCGTATTCACTTGCCATACTCTTTCTTTCTTTTTTCTTTCTTTCTTTATTGATTTATGTTTTTCATCACCTGTATTCTTTTGCCTTAATCTTTCTTTCTTTCTTCCTTCTTTCATCTCATTGTTTTTTGTTCATCTTTTTTAAATTAATTCTTTCGTTCTTTCTGTCTTTTTTTCTTCTTCTATTGAATTCTGTCTTTCCTCACCCGCATTCATTTGCCTTTTCTTTCTTTCTTTTCTTTTCTTTCTTTCTTTCTTTCTTTCTATATGTTTTTCGTTTTATTTTTTCTTTTCTTTTTTTCTTTTTCTTTCTTTTCTTTATTTTTTTTTTTCTTTCTTTCTTTTCTTTCCGTTTTATTTTTCTTGCTTTCTTTTCTTTTTTTTTTGTCGTATTCATTTCTTTCTTTCTTTCTTTATTCTTTTGTTTTTCACCATCCGTATTCATTTTCTTTCTTTCTTTCTTTCTTTTTCTTTCTTTCTTTCTTTTTTCTTTTTTTTCTCCCCTGTATTCATTTGCCATACTCTTTCTTTATTGATTTATGTTTTTCACCATCCGTATTCATTTGTCTTACGCTTTTTTCTTTCTTTCTTTCTTTTCTTTCTTTTCTTTCTTTGTTTTTTTCTCCACCCGTTTCTTTCTTTCTTTATTGATTTATGTTTTTCTCCATCCGTATTCATTTGTCTTTCTTTCATTCTTTTTTTTCTTTCTTTCTTTTATTGATTTATGTTTTTCACCATCCGTATTCTTTTTGATTTATGTTTTTCACCATTTATTCATTTTCTTTCTTTCTTTCTTTCTTTCTTTCTTTCTTTCTTTCTTTCTTTCTTTCTTTGTTTTTCTCCACCCGTATTCATTTGCCATACTCTTTCTTTATTGATTTATGTTTTTCACCATCCGTATTCATTTGTCTTTCTTTTTTTCTTTCTTTCTTTCTTTCTTTCTTTTTTTTTTCGTATTCATTTTTTCTTTTCTTTATTGATTTATGTTTTTCACCATCCGTATTCATTTGTCTTACGTTTCTTTTCTTTCTTTCTTTCTTTCTTTCTTTCTTTCTTTGTTTTTCTCCACCCGTATTCATTTGCCATACTCTTTCTTTATTGATTTATGTTTTTCACCATCCGTATTCATTTGTCTTACGCTTTCTTTCTTTCTTTCTTTCTTTCTTTCTTTCTTTCTTTCTTTCTTTCTTTATGTTTTTCACCATCCGTATTTATTTTTCTTTTTTTCTTTCTTTCTTTTCTTTTTTCTTTTCTTTTCTTTCTTTCTTTGTTTTTCTCCACCCGTATTCATTTACCATACTCTTTCTTTTTTATTGATTTATGTTTTTCACCATCCGTATTCATTTGTCTTACGCTTTCTTTTCTTTCTTTCTTTCTTTTCTTTCTTTCTTTTTTTCTTTCTTTCTTTCTTTTTTATGTTTTTTCACCATCCTTTATTTATTGATTTATGTTTTCACCATCCGTATTCATTTTCTTTCTTTCTTTCTTTTTCTTTCTTTCTTTATTTCTTTATATTTTTCACCATCCGTATTTATTTCTTTCGCTTTCTTTCTTTTATTCCTTTTTTTTTTTTTTCACTTTCTTTATTCATTAGCCTTTATTTATTTTTTTTTTTTTTCGTATTTTCTTTCTTTCTTTCTTTCTTTCTTTCTTTATTTATTTATTTACGCCTATCTTTCCGCCTATTCAATCGTATGTATTAAATGTTTTCGTTTTTGATGGAATATTTTTTTCTTTACTCACCACACACATACACAAACAAATCACTGATACCCTCCATTCCAAAGATGACTCGCTTTGGTTAAAGATGTAATTAGAATAAAAGATAATATATTGTTAAAGTCACGGGTTCACAAACCATTTCTTAATAAGTACTTCGATCAACTTGGGAAGGTCGTCTAATTTAGCACCATTGTGAATTCCATATCAAAGTCTTGCATTATTAAGAATTTTTTTTCTGGTATGCGGAGAATAAGGTTTCCTGTAATATTATTTCTCATGTCATCGTTTTTTGTTTTTTTTTGTCTCATGTGAATTTCCCTGTACAGATCCCGGAGCGAAAAAAGGCATTCATTGTAGTATAACGTCTTACATTTTGTGGATTGACGCCATCATTTTTCCCTGGCTTTTGAAAACATGTATGTGAATGGCCACTATTTTGACCTGAACATATTATTCTTAAGAGAAAATATTCGACAATGTCTCATGTATTGAAGTAAGATGGAAATATCTGGTACAATAGAAGAGACTGCCTTTCTATTCCAATCTATGTAAACTAAAAAGACTGACGAAAAGAGAACAAAAAAAATGAAATGTTATGCTATTGATATTTGTCTAATGTTCCGAAATATTTCGTACATTCCGCGAATATTGACGAGTAACGTCAAACTTACTTTTATTATACACCATGTCCCTTCAGGATGAGAGCAATCATAACTTTCCCCAATTTCCTCTATCTCCATTATTACATGATTGTTTTCTCCGGCCTTTATGTCTAAGTCTCTCTATAGTGAATATGGCAATGAAGAAGAGGATAACAGTGCGAAAAATGCAAATAATGCAAGTAATCATAATACCTCATCTCAGAGATATAGACGGATATATAGAGAGACATAAGCATAAAGGCCGGAGCGTAGAACGGTCGAAACGTTGTGAATATGGCAATGAAGATGAGGATAACAGTCCGAATAAATGTAAATAGTTCAAGTAATCATAATACTTCATCTCAGAGATATAGGCATATATAGAGAGAGACATAAACATAAAGGCCGGAGCGTACAACGGCCAAAACGTTGTGAATATGGCAATGAAAATGAGGATAACAGTCCGAATAATGTAAATAATACAAGTAATCATAATACCTCATCTCAGAGATATAGACAGATATATAGAGAGACATAGACATAAAGGCCGGAGCTTACAACGGCCGAAACGTTGTGAATATGACAATGCAGATGATGATAACAGTCCGAATAATGTAAATAAGAAATCATGATACCTCATCTCAGAGATATAGACGGAATCCGTTCTCTCATCTTTTCTTTCAATTACAACGTTCATGATGGATGTTTTCAACCATTCAGTTAGAGAGCACTATTTCTTTATAATTTATTTATAAGAAATTTATTTTAATATATGGAAATTAATTTATAAGAAATTTCTCGAAAATGCTAGATGTAACCGTAAGTTGTATAATAACAGTTTTTTCTCTCAAACTTCTCGCTTCTGAAAATATCTACTGGCTTCTTGCTTTCCAGACAATTTTGATCGTCAATAATCTAAGTCAATATCAAATGTTATCTTTTGTCTTCTTAATTCATGTTCCCTCATTGATTTTTCTTATGTGAATTTCACTGTCCAAAAGCGAAAAATGCATTCATTGTAGAATAACATCTTACTTTTTTGAGGCTTGATGCCAACTTTCTTACCGCGCTTTTGAAAACATGTATGTGAATGGGCACCATTTTGACCTGAACATATTCTTTTTATGACGAAATATTCGACAATATTTCATATATTGAAGATGACAACAGATGGTGCAATAAAATAGAGTGCCATTCTGTGACAATATAAGTAAATTTTAAAAAGACTGACGAATAGAAAAAAAAAAGAAAATATATACTGCTATCTTCATTGCAATATCCACAACGTTTCGGCCATTGTACGCTCAGGCCTTCTTCAGGTGACTGGAGTTTCAACCGAACCCTTTATTTCGATCACAGGTGACACATGGCCCAGTAGATAATGACCTTGTGTAGATCCAGTGACTAGAGATAATTGATTTTTTCTGTTTCTGCATAAGAATCAACACAGAAATGGGTATGTAAAAATTAAAGCAAAATGCGATATTTTGAACCATGGATTAACGTTATTGCTTAAAACCGCTAAAATTTATCGTTAGATTTTTGTCATTAACCTTACAGAAAATAGATTGTAATTGACTTTTTTTTTTCTTTTTGTACGACTCAAACAACATAAGAGTCAGCTATAAAATGGGTATGTAAAAATTAAAACAAAATGCGATATTTTGAACCATGGATTAACGTTATTGCTTAAAACCGCGAAAATTGACCTTTTTTTAAGTAACGTAGTATTTTTTTTATCGTTATATAACAGTTTTAGCGATTTTCTTCGTCCGATTTTTGGTTTGATTTTTATAGTCTAACTAATGTTTGGGCCATAATGGTTTGTTAATTTGTTTATTATTTACTTTATTTATTTGGGTTCCTTTATTTTGTTTTTTATTTTTTATTTATTTATTCTATTTCGTCTATTCTAACGGGTGTGATTTGGTAATTTGTTTGGGTTAATTTATTTTACTTATTTTATTGTCATTTTGTTTTGTTTTATTTCAGTGTTCGATTTTCAAGTAACGTAGTAAACATTTGTTTTCATGTCTGCATTTTGAGATGAGATCGGATCGTTTATTAGAGTAAATAAAAATATACAGTATAATAAATAAATAATAAAAAACAGGTAAAATAAATTAATCTAAATTAATCCAAATAAATAAACTAACAAAACGATTCCGATAAATTAATCGTTAGAAAAAACAAGTAAAGATAATCAATACAAATAAATAAATGAAGTAAACAAATTAAAAACTGCTCCCACCAAAATAATAGTTAGAATAAACTACAGCAATCAACCCCAAAATTGAATAAATAGCTTTAATTAGCTTCCCAAACCTAAACAAACTATTACATAAGCGATACAAAATTTTTTTATTACGTTAATAAAACAGCGATTAAAATTAAAACTAAATAAATATATATATATAAGATAAGCAATAAAAATAAAAAATAAAAATAAAAAATAAAAATAAATAAAAACAAGCAAAATAATCTAACCTAAATAAATAAATAAACAAATTAAATTTTATTTTAAATAAATAAACAAATTTTATTTTATTTTAAATAAATAAATAAATTTTATTTTATTTTCAATAATATCCTTTCTCAATCACGTATGAGTTTTGATATTTTATGATGAAGAGAACAAGATATGTAACATGGTTACATTTATTCATTTTAATTTTCCTGGTGTAGTTTTTTAAAAGTATGGCTATGTTATATTGGTTGATTGTAAGACATTATTTGATTTCTTCTGTGATTTATCACGTCGAAACACCGGTTCTAGTAGTGTCACTGAAATTAAGCAACATCGAGCCTAGTCAATACCTAAATGAGTGGCCGCTTGGTAATATCAGGTAATTTAATCTTGAATGTGCGGGTGGTGTTATGATAATGGATCTGAATTGAAAAAGTCTGGTTCGTTATATACACTTACGCATAAATACCCTTAGGAAATGCATGAATCCACATTTCCCCAGCTATTGGGTTAATTAGTAGAATTTCTATCAATAAAACATTATTGACTCCAAAAACTTCTTAGAATTTGAGATATTTTCGGGCTTTAAATATCTTGTAATGTTTTTATAAGCCAAGTGTCTAAATTACTCTCGAGTAGTTTGTAACAACCTATTTATCGTCTGAGGAAAATTATACTGAGAGGTGCCCAGCCCTGGGGAACAGCTGCCCGAGGCCGCACACTCTCATTGGACCAGAGGGAGGGATCAGTATTTGCACCGAGGCCAGCGCAACCGACGGTTGCAGAGACTGTGGGCAATTTTTGTTACAAGCCCGGTGTACGCGCACTGGCTCTCTACATTAAACACACCTTGTGTCACGACAGGACATCGTGAGGAGGGGGTGAGTAAATACGAATTGGTAGAACTTGTATCAATAAAACATTAATATCTCCAAAACCTTCTTAGAATTGGAAATATTTTCGGGCATGTCTTGTAATGGTTTGACAAGCTATAGAAATAAAAAAATTATTATATCACTACAGTAAAAGAATCGAATCACTGATCATTAAATACAGTCTTCGATGCTCAGGATATGTAGCAAAAATGAAAGAGTCAAGGCTTCCACGGAGAGTCTTATTCAGTGAGGTCATTTCAAGCAAAAGGGGTTTGACCTATTCGAAGATACCAGGATCAACTCAAAAATTGTTTGAAACACATTCACATGGCCATACCAACTGGCAATGTTCCATCGCCATCGGAAGTAAAAACTTCGAAGCCACCAGATGAGAAAAGGAAGATCTCGAATGTTAGAGAAATGTTTAAAGATATGAAATTAAAAGCATTATAGATCATCAGTTTTGTTATAATTTTAACTTTGGTATATGGTTGCGAAACCTGGACTCTATATCGTTACAATATCCAAAAATTAGAACGCTTTCGCCAGCAAATGTTTCGTTCAATCAAATTACTATGTGACCCACACAAATCCTGGAAAGATCTAACAGACAAAACATCGAATGGCTGATCATTAAACAGTCTTCGATGGTCAGGACATGTAGCAAGAATGAAAGTGTCATGGCTTCAACGGAAAGTCTTATTCAGCGAACTCACTTTAGATAATAGGTGTTTGACCTCTTCGAAGATACAAGGATCAACTTCAGGCAAAAGTGGTTTGACCTCTTCGAAGATACAAGGATCAACTCAAAAGTTGTTTGAAACACATGCACACGGGAGTACTAACCGGCAATGTTCCATCACCATTGGTAGCAAAAACTTCGAAGCCACCAGATGAGAAAAGGAAGGACTCGAGTGTTAGAGAAATGCTTAAAGATATGAAATTAAAAGCATTATAGATCATCACTTTTGTTATAATTTTAACTTTGGTATATGGTT